TATTTCAAACTTAGGAGTAAGGAACAGATAATGGGATATGGAAAGGAAGGGATGATTAACAATATCATAAAGAGGTGAATAAAATGGCTTGACTAAGGTCTCAATCCAGCAAGTACTTATTAAGCAACTATTATGTGCTAGACATTAGGGGAACAATGAGTAAGATGGGTTTTGCCCTCAAGTATCACCCAGAGAGAGGAAAAAAGTAGGATAAACAGGTGTGCACATATATATGCAACAGAATATGTTTAAAGAATAAAAAAACACCTTTAAAATCTATTGACCTCATGTGCTCAATTACATTACAGCAAAGCAGAGTGTAATAAGGAAGTACTTGCTGTTCTTTCTGCTGGACTTCTGATAATTCAAACAGCTGATCTTTTCTCATCACTCAGGTCTTAGGACAGATGTTACCTTTACACACACTAGGGCCCTTCTAGTGGGTCACTCTATCTCAAGACCTGTTTCTTCATTGCCAGACACGTATCTATACATGCATGCATATAGTGTGCTTCCCCCACGAGAACGGAAGCATCACAGAAGCAGAAATTTGATCTTGTTAGTTGCTACCAGCTACACAGTGAGCCCTCAGGAGAAAACATATATTCATAATATATCGCATACAGTACATGGAGGGGAGGCAAATAAACCTCATCAAGATTAAGACCTCAAATCAAAATAGGCCGGTTTCCAGTTGCTTACAGCAACCTACTGAGAACTTAAGAGACTCTCAAGAGCAAAGCCATTTTGAGGCAGGGGTTGAAACAAAATCCAGGGGTCCCACACGAGATCAGTGTCTCCACTTGACTGTCTTGCATAGATTACAGGAGTACCCACCCGGTGTGAGATATTTGACAATGAGGCCAGCCAGCTGCCAGGCTCAGGTTTTATTTCCGTTGTCCTTCTGACGTCAGAAAAAGCACGAGTTTGTTGCACAGTTTCTTCTATCAAGGTGACAAATTACAGCCTCGCTAGGCCCCACATTCTGCCAACCATACATTTAACGTCCCACTCCCCCTTACATTCAAAAATGTAAAAAACTCATTGCAGAGATGTCAAACCCCCTTCCAAATGCAAATGAATACAGTTTCCCAGCGGCCGGGTTTTTCCACTCTTACTACGTGCATCACGGTAGACTGGTCTGAAAAAAGTACGCGATCCCGGCGGCAGTTAGGTTTCCACGGAAGAAACAGGCTCGTAAAAACTCCAGATCCGCGCCGCAGAGCGAGACACAAAGGACTCAATTGTTAGCACCACCTTCCCCGGCCAAAGGCAGCCTGTGAAAGGCACTGGGAACGGCGTGACGCGGTTACCGCGAAATTCCTTTTGCCGCCATATGCACTCGTGCTTTTAGTGACTACAGTTCAGAAGAAACCCAGGGCCTGGAGATTCGGCAACCAAGCGGCGCCCAGGCATCGCGATCGCCTGCGGGGTCCCAGGGGGTGCTAAGAGCTCAGGCGCGCAGAGAAGCGGATTATTTGGGGAGGGAGACGAGGGCGGGGCGCACGTAAGATCGAAGGCGCGTTTTTCCTCCAGGAGGGAAGCCTGAGAGTTTAACGGCCTTTTGTGGCAACATTTAGGGACCCGAGAGAGGTGATGGGGTGGGGGGAGGAGGTGAGCCTGGAGGGGCGCACAATCCGCGAGGGGCCCGGCTCAAGCGGTGGCCTTTTGTCCGCCGGCTCCAGCGGATCCGGGTCTCGGAAAAGAACTACCTCTTTTGCCCTCTCTCTCCATTTTGTAAAGAATCTCTTCTGGGCGGGAAAAGACAATGAGTCACTGCCAGCATCCTTTGATAGTTCCCCCCCGCATCTTCCTACTCGTCCTCATTAGAGACCCGCAAAGCGCGAAGGAGGGGCGACCAACGTGCTCCTGTTTACTCTGCTCGGCGGCTTGGCTCCCTAAATAGTGGCCAGTACCTAGACCCTGCCAGCCGCACACCGGCACCCTTGGGGACAACACACGCGCTTCTCGGGGCCCTACCGACTCAGGAAATACCCTCCCCCCCCAAGGGGATTCATACACTTCTCGGGCACTCGGCGCCCTCACATTGTCTGCTCTCTCCTTTCAGACCTGCGTGGTCGCTGAACCAAATGAAATGTAACCAGACCTGACGCCACACTCTGCCACCATAGAAACAGATCAAAAAAGTAAGCCACAGCCCCTTCAAAGGTGAAATCAGGGACCCTGACGCTTCCTCGCATTGCCGCACCTCAGGGGAGAGCAGGGGACTAGGACTTTTCCTTTCCGAAAAGCAAAATCTGAAGACATCAGGCGCAGCCGCGCTCTGCCTCCTTCCATGCTGGGAGAATTTCTACGTTTCAGCCTCCTCTCGCGGCTCAAACCATCACTCCTCTCCCTACCGCCGCTTCCCCAGCCCTCCCTAGGGTGAAAATAATCACCTTACCTTGGGAAATAAAGGGAAAGGTGGCAAAAGGCGATGTCAAAGTGTCCGCCCTTCCGGATATTCCCAACTGCTGTTTGATGTCCTTTGTGTCAAGGTCTGGCTCCCAGGGCAGGGAAAAAAGGTGGTCCTAAATCAGCGAGGGTTGGGCTGGGAAGCTTGGCGTGGCAGATTTCGGAGGAAGGTGAAGGGCGGAGGTTCCCAGCGACCTTCAGGCGCAATGGCGTGGCTGCCCCAGGCCGCGTTCTTTTGGCTCTCTTCCTTTTGGCTGATTGAATTCGAATCTCCTCCCGCCCCCCAGCCTCCGCCACCACCAACCCTCACCCACACTCTTATCGCCAGCCTCTCACTTACATCGACACGCTCTGGCGTTCAGGGTCTCGAGCCGTAGTCATTTCCTACTGGGAGGCGCGTCGTCCTTCTGCAGTCTGGGGCTTAAGATGTTTTAACCGGGAAAGTCAGGCCATTCCTCCACCGTCTCCTCCCCTTCTGCGCGCCCGCTTTCAACCAAAGCTGCGTGTCACTAAGTGGTGCTTGTCACATGGTGTCATTGCTGGCGGCCGCGCCTTTCTGCCTTCCTCTAGCAGCTCTGACGTTGCAGTGACCGAGGCTGGAGGCTACTGAGCTTCGGGGGAAGGGATGAGGGAGGATGCGGAGCGCGCGCGTGAGGGGCTTACTGATGAAAGCTAGGAGAGTGGAGGCTCCACGCTGCCAGGACACCTGCCCCGCGCCCTCCTGGGGCCCGGCAGCGTGCTCCAAACTCGGCTGCGGTAGTGGTTGGAGAATGGGAACCTTTGGGGTTGAAGGTGGAATGGCCAACTGGGCATCCGCGGAGGAAAGGAAAGCTGGGCTCTTGGGGCGGAGGGCTACATTTTGGGGTACGCCAGAACCAGCCAGGGCCTAAGAAACGAGAGGAGTTGCATTGTGGGAAGAATGCAGCCTGAGGATGGCCGCAGGAGTGACTGGCGGGAATGCAGCCCAGAAAGCTGCTGGCAGCGCCTGGAGCTACGGGCAGGGATGGAGCCGTGTGTCGGCTCCTAGGGTGGCCGGTAGACGGCCCGGGTTGGCGGGAAGGGGACTGGAGTGGTTGGGGGAGCTGGGAGCGCAGAACCTTTGGAAATCCTTTGTCCCTAGCCCGCCCCAAGAGGTTCCTTCCCTCTTCCGGATCCTACACCCGCAGACCTCGCCAGCCCTCCCTGAGATCTGCTCTGTGCAGCTCTGTTTTGGGGACTGGGTGTGAAGCGCACCAGAAGATTTGAAGGGCTGCGAGCGCGCACCTGCCTAGGCGCGAAGAGACCAGAGTCGAGTATGGAGGAGCCCGAGGACCTCATGCGATTCCGCCTACCCGCCCGGCGCCTCCCAGCGCCCAAATCGGGGATGGGTTGGGGGCAGGGGGAGGCAGGCAGGGGCGACCGAGATCGTTCCCCCTTTTTTTCCTGCTTTTTCTTTGTTTCAAGCACAGCCCCTTTTAACAGGCTGGGCACTTCTTGCAGAGGGATGTGTCTCCTTAAAATGGCGACAGGAAATCCCACCTGCGCGTCAGCCAATTAGACTGTCGTTCTAGCGCGAATTTGCAGGGAGGAAATTTGAGCTTTTTATTGACAGAGATGGTTTAGTCTTCGTGTTCCATCAAAACAGGAAAGGGAAGGTGAATCATAATTCAGAAATTAATCTACCTGCAGTCGTTCATGGGGGCAGACTGAGTAGTCACTGTGTGGCAGGGGCTGTCGCTTTTTAATCTCCGCTGGAAAAGTGAGATGGCACCCAGATTTTAAGTTTCTCATTATTGATTAAAATTCTCATTCTCTTCGATGGCAGGCGTTGTTCTTGTCTAGTTCGATTGGCTTCCTGAGAACACTGTTTAGGAGACATATTCTTGATTATACCTGAGAAAGTAAAAGGGCAGTCAAGGGGAACTGAAGGGTACCAAGGTTCAGCCTCGCTCAGCCCACCTGAGCTCAACTCTGAAGATACTTATCGCTTCCTTCGCCTGATTATCTTTTGTCCTGGTGCTGTTTTTCTAATTTGTAAGAAAAGGAGATAATAGTACACACATCACAAATAATCTGTAGGTCATCAGAAACTTGATTCTTTCTACCCTGTCCCTGGAGGAAGTTAATTTAGAATGAAATTAATGATTTTAGGTAGTGTGTATCTTGTCTGGAACAAATAATTGTTATAAATAAGAAACCTAAGTAGGTAAAGTAGATAAACTGTGAGCCGAGTTCAAGCCTGTTGAAATGTTAATTTTATTAAAGATAGGATGTATAGCCATCCATTCGTGTTTAAAATAATGTGATTCCCAGCATATCTTTTGATTCCAGTTTTAACTTAATTATTAGTTCCTATACACCAAAAGACTGCAGTTACCTTGCACTTTTGAATAGGATTCAGTGGTTATGTCCTGAGGCCCTACTGTTGGCCAGCTATTGTACTAAGCACTTTATATGTACATATTTACTCATTCAATAATTTTCATCCCTCAATTAGGTATTATCCTTATTAGATAAATAAGAAACTAGGTTCCAAGAGGTTAAATTTGTCGTGTTTACAAAAGATTTTGTAAATAGTGAAGGGGGAAGCAAGTTCCATTTGGTTCTAATATAAGTCCATGCCCAGTCTTAACCACAGTGTTTCAACCATTGGGTAATCAGGCAAAAATCTTCACCCAACCTCTGGATTTTAGTTGACAACCTGGAACTGGAGGAAACCGAGGCTGTGATGAAGGATTGTTGCTGTGTGGATGTGGTGGTGGAAGGGGGAAAGAGGCAGTGTTCAGGAAGAGTGCCTGGTAACACCACTGTGAGCCTTTTCTCAGAACTGCTTGTAGGTGAAACTTCCTTTTTGATACCCTTTGGTAACTCAGCACCTGAACACAATCGCTGTGGTCTCAAGTGGGGTCTTCAAGGGATGTCTTGACCATGGCTCCCCTCCTTAATGTGTTCAGAGACAAGCAGCAGGTTAAGCATCTTACCCAGGATCTCTAGTTTAATCCTCACAACCTTTCTATTAGGACACACTATCCTAATCCCTGATTCAGAGGTTAAAAGATTTATTTCAAGTCCACACATTTTAATGGGCACATGCAAGTCCTGAATCCAGTGTTGACTCCAAAGCCACTTTTCTATGTCTGACTCTAAAATGTCCCTCGATTCTGGAGTAACCCTCTTTGGAGGGTGAGGAGGTGGGAAGGGCCCCAACCCACTCAGACTTCAGATAGGAAGTACTACTGTTTTCACAAAGTCCACAGAGTCAATTTGCCCAGTATTAGGTTTTTGAGCTCCAAGGGCATTGTTACTAGTATTGAATGTTATTTGTAGACCTTTTCCGATTCAGCAGATTTCCCTAACATCCTTAGGAGACATTAAAAAGTTTTATCATAAAAGGAAAATTGGATAAATTCACCTGAGTGATCTCCAGTAGCACCATCAGCTATTTTTTTTTAATATTTATTTTTCAGTTTTCGGTGGATACAACATCTTTATTTTATTTTTATGTGTTGCTGAGGATCGAACCCAGCACCCCAAGCATACCAGGCAAGCGTGTTACCACTTGAGCCACATCCCCAGCCCTATCAGCTATTTTTTATGGCACTAGGAAAGAGAGACTTTCCAAAGTTGATTTGTGAAGGAAAATTAATTGTACCCCAAGAAAGATTGAATGTGATCTTAAGTCACATCTGCTCTCATCCCAGCTTCACCCTGTTCTCCCTGCAGTTGCACTTGCTCTCTGCTTGAATTATCCAACAGGACAGCTGCAGAAGGGGCCATGCTGGCTGCTTACAGAAAATACCTGCTTTCTTCCATGGGTTTTCAAAGTCTTTCAAATATATCTGATCTGATATTAAGTAGATTGCTTGTATAAGAATTTTGAGTAACAGGGTCAAAACTATTTTTAAAAAATATTTTATGTTTTAGTTGTAGTTGGACACAATACCTTTATTTTATTTTTATGTGGTGCTGAGGATCGAACCCAGGCCTTACACATGCTAGGCGGGTGCTCTATTGCTAAGCCACAACCCCAGACCGGGATCAAAACTATTTTCTGAATATAGTTTTTCTTTTTAATCTGTAAAGGACTAACACAGGGCAACCTGAATTTTAACAATATATTAAAAAAAAAAATAGGGCTGGGTTCATTGGTGCATACCTTAGTCCCAGGGACTCAAAAGGCAGAGGTGGGAGAGTCTAAAGTTCAAGGCCAGCCTCTGGAATTTAGAGAGGTCCTAAGCAATTTAGCAAAATCCTGTCTCAAAATAAAAAGGGCTGGGGATGTAATTTAGTGGTAAAGCGACCCTGAGTTTAATCCCCAGTACAAAAAAAAAAAGAAAGAAAAAAATAGGGAAGTCAATTGATGAGGTTATTTAGGAATGAGTGTCCTGCAAATTTCCTGTATGTAACAGGAGCAGTGCTGCCACCAGATGTCCAAATCCTACCTCAGTAAAAACAGGTTGTGTATTCTGAGACCACTCTTTTGTTCCTATTTATATGGTCTACCCTAGAACAACAGATGGTCTTTTACAATTCCTGGTTTTTCTTGACTGATGAAATCACATTTTTTTTTTTTGTCTGATTAATCCTTGTTACCATCCTCAAGGTTCTTTGGATCACATCCATACATGACAATATTTTGACACTAAAATTGGTGGAATAGCCACAACACAAAATAAATTCACAATGAAAGGAAACAGCGACTATCTTGGCCATCCTTCCACAGATACATGACACTGTGTGGTCTAATCCCCCTTGATGGTAGCACTGTAAGAGGTCAACAACCCTTACTGACTCCAAACTTAATTTAAACTAAAATCCTAAAGCAGAATGAGCCTCAAAAAAAAAAAAAAATCTGTTATCTCTGGTTTTCGCCTAGGTTAGCTTTCTTAGATCACGTATGTTTGTTTGTCAGGGGAAACTGAAGGTGACGTTCATTAGTTATTGCAACTGTATGGTGATACAATCTCATTCATTCAAGTTCACTAAAGAACCAAGGCCAAATGAGCAGTCCTGGGAGTTTAGTGTCTAATTTGCCCCATGTTTATGCACCATTATGCAGATCAACTGAGTGCAGCTCCCCTAGCTAGTTTAAAATGGGGTAGTGATACCCATCTCATAATCAAACGATTCAAAGTCTGCAAAGTACTTAAGCAGATGTTTGGCACAAAATAAGCACTCAATAAATGGTACCTATCATTATTTGCACACTTTGCAGAGATGAGCAGGGGGCAATGAAATGTCAAAACACAACTTCACAGACACAAGGTATTCTGTCCTGTTTACTTTGTTGTTGTTTTTTTTTTTTAATCATGGTGTGGTTAATTTAATGTAAATAAGGTATTTCAAATATGAGTCTATCTTTTTTTTAAAGAGAGAGAGAGAATTTTTTAATATTTATTTTTTTAGTTTTCAGCGGACACAACATCTTTGTTTGTATGTGGTGCTGAGGATCGAACCTGGGCCACGTGCATGCCAGGCGAGCGTGCCACCACTTGAGCCACATCCCCAGACCCTGTTTACTTCTTTCTGAAGAAACTATGAAGCCCATATCTCAGCTCAAACTCTTCCCACTGTGGCAATGGGAAAGAGAAGGTATTAGAGAATAGGTGGGCCTCCATTTCCACTCACAGCCTTAACTTTAAAGTGACAAAGTAAGCTTTGGGTACACATGAGAATGTATTAATTAAAAAGTAGAAGTGTTTCAAACTAGAGCATAACATCTACACTTACTAATGGTACCAGTGTAAATTGACACAACATTTGTGAAGTAGCAAATTTAGTAACTGTGGGCTCTGGAGACAGATCTTTGAGTTCTAGTTTTGGTGCCACAGCATATTAGCTCTGGAACTTTAGACAAGTTACTTAACTTCTCTGTGCCTTCAGTTTCCTCACTTAAAAAGGGAATGCTAATACCTACCTCACATGGTT